CCCCGCCGACGCCTGCCAAGAGTGCCCAAGTTGCCGCCACGGAGCTTTCCTCCAAGGCCGACACCAACGTCAAGCGGGCCAAGACCGACAACGGCGCCGCTCCTAAGGCCGACGAGGTACCGATGGAAGAGGAGGAGTCGACGATCGATGCCGTAGAGCAGCTGGGCCTCACCGTGAAGTCTGTGCCGAAGGATGGGGCTTGTGCCTGGCACAGCCTGTCGTGGCGATTCATTCGTGGTAAGAAGACGACCACCTCTCCGAAGGCGCTGCGCACCCAGACCACCGATTACATGACAAAGAAGAGCACTACCTTTGAGGCCATATGGGATCGCCTATGCCCTAACGGCCAGCCTTGCACTTCCTGGGCTCAGTACCTCAAGCTGATGCACAAGGAGGACGCTTGGACAGGGGAGCTGGACCTGCTGGCTGCAGCAGACAAACTCGGGCTCTCCATTATCGTCGTGCGGCCTCGTTCCCCGACCGTCCAGATCGGCAGGGGGAAGGGCAAAATATGGTTGCTCTATCGCCATGGCCATTACGAGCCCTTGGAACCGAGTTCAGACCCTACACACATTGCTGCACGACGCGAGCATGTGGCATCGATTGCCGAATGCTTCCGAATGGTTACGTCGTCGCCTACGGTTTCCCCACGCGAATGGAAGTTCAAGGGCGGCGGCCGCAGTACGCAGTCGGTGGCGGGAACACTGCGCAGTGGCCGTTCTTCCTCGGCCAAAACTTCGGCGGCTTCCAGTCCTTCTTCACCGGCCAGAACGTTGGGGAGGGGTGCTGGGGTGGACTCGGCAGGCGGCGCCGGGTCTGACCATGGAGGCACCTATCGCCTGGGGGGCGCTTCTGCAGCCAGAACTCTGGCAGCATCTCGTTCTTCCAATGCACCGAGCAGAATCCCTTCGGCCAGAACGCTTGCGGCGGCCAGTTCGGCCCCGCAGACCCTGCGTGCCCGCCCGGCAGCGGCTCCCTCACGGGCGGCCTCGGTTTCGGGCGCCTGGGGAACAATACCAGTTTCTAAACGGCACGCCCCCATTCTTGCGAGAGAGCTGATCAAGCAGAATAAGCTTGCAGCATCATCTTTTTCATCATCATATTCTGCACGCAAACGTCCAGCAGCTGCTGCGACGAAGACGTGGGATCCAGCTACCGAGGCTCGCGCTGCGCGTCTCCGCCTGGCTGCCCAAGGATTGCCTTAGCTATGTTCGCCTACGTTGTCATCCACCGGGGTGTCCTGCCAACGCTGCTCACGCACTGCATCTACACCTTCGTCTATGGCGCAGCCCGGGCGTTTCTGCGCGAACGCCCCCTGTCGTTCGCGCGCCTCTCCGCCGACTACGCCAGAGCGCATGGTCACCTTCATGTCTTTGGCATTGATGCGACGATACTCTTCGGCGTCTTCTCCACAGACCCACAGTGCTCCAGTGGATCGTGCGCGGGAGTTGCAAATTCGGCTTTGCACAGATAGTTGGAGGGGTTGAAAGTGCTCACTCTGCACATGCAGCATCCCGGATCAGGTTACAGACCGCGCGACCGCTCGTCGCCAACATCTGCTCAGCCATGGGGCTGCAGGCAGAGAAATCCTTTCCGCCCGCAAGGGCCAGGTCAAGCAAATCGCCAAGGACCCGATCGTCACCGCGAGACGCTTTGCTACGCGTCGTGCTGACCGTCACGCCATGGCCACGCCCATCATTTCTCAGCTTCCTCCTCGGGCCTGCCGCCTGCAGTCCAGGGAGGGCGATACTTACGGCTTCGAGTGCTCGACGTGCGGCTGGTACACGCCGTCTCTGCAGTTCGCGCGCTCCGACCTCCTCTGCAGCGGCGCCCCGGAGGACGCCCAGCAGGCCGCCTCCGAGATGTCAAGAGCACAGCGGGTGGCCACTATCTCCGACATCGCCACTGTCGCCAAGCAGCAGCGCCAGGAACAGGCGTCGCAGCGCAAGCGCGAACGCCGCCGCCTCCTGGCCAAGATGCACCGTCAGACCCTTGTCTGCTAAGGGCCCCCGGGACCTCGGGCTCCTGACCTACAACATCGGGAGCTACACCAAACGTCGAGTGAGACTTCTTTCGCTACTCGCTGCGCATGCTCCTCACCTCCTCACCTCTGCTTTCTCCAAGAATGTGCCCTTCCTCACGGTCAGCGGCGCATGCTACGCGCTGATCTACATGCTGTTGGCTATACTTTGTTTGTCGGCCGGGATGGCTTGCGCGCCATCGTGCGGGGCGGGCGCAACGTCGCCCCCATCGCCGCCCCCCTGCGGACGCCGACTTCCGAGTGCAACGGCTCGCCACGCAGGTGGGGCAGGCCCGCCTTTTGATACATCATCGGCACGCCCACTCGGGCTCAGCCTCCGAGAGGGCGCGCTTCGACTCGCAAGTTTTTCGTGACCCCGCACGCCTTACAATTGACGTGGGGGATTTCAACGAGCTCCCAACCTTCGATCTGGAAGACCACCTGGTACCAGCTTTCCCGGGAGAGCATACTTATTGTCTTGATGCAGCGGATCGCGGCCGCAATGCTTCAACGATCGACGGCGTCGTTTTTTCTCCGACCTTGATGGCGGCGGCGACTGCTATTGCACTGCCGCGCGTGGAGTCCTCACAACACCGACCTGTCCTTATTCAGGCTGCCATGACCCCCGAGTTTCACGATGCTCTACGTTGGTCCGTGGACGAGCCGATCGAGTGTGGAGCGTGGACCCCCGAGGCCAAGCACCAGTTCGACGTGGACATCGTCACCGACATCGACAAGGCATGGGCCACCTGGGCCACTGCCGCCGGCGCGCCCGACTCCCGGATACTGCGCCAGAGGGCCGGCGGCGGCTGGGCTGCCGGGCCGCGCGCCCAGGAGGTCCACAACGTGTGGAAGAAGGCTCGTCGTGAACTCCATCGCAGCGATCACGACGCTGCCGGGCACACCATCGGCACGATCACCAGCATCATCGACGACGCCACGAGCCAGCGCCTCCACTCATGGAGGCAGCGGGTCGCCACACGAGGCGGCGTGGCCAGGTGGGTCAAACAACGACTTAATGATCTGCGGGAAGCTGTTCTGCCTGCTTTTGGCTCAGAGACTATGTCGCCACGGGAATTGGCACGTAGACTCAGCACTTCGTTGGCCAAGCGTTGGAATACTGGCGTATTTCAGTTATCTCATCTGCCTGGAATGCGTGTCGATGTTGTACGTTCTCCACTGGATCACGCCCTTCTTCGACAACATGTCCCACCACCAGCCCCTCTTCAACGACATCCTTTTGATTTGTCCATCTTGCCAGATGTGCCTGTTTTTCGCGCTCCGGGGCCGTGGCAGGCGGAGCACGCCATCGCACTCCTCCCCGATGGCGCGAGCGGGATCGACGGGCATGCTGTTAAGTGGATCGAACATCTTCATCAAGACTCTCTGGAGCGGCTTGTGCAGGTGCTCACCGCTGCTGACCAGGGCCGCTTGCCGCACTTATGGAGCATGGCTCGCGTGACCCTTATCCCCAAAGGTCCGGAGGCGCCGCCTGACGAGCGCAGGCCACTCAGCGCACTACCCGCAACGTATCGGCTTTGGGCCCAGCGACACGCAGCAGCCTTAACTACCTGGCTGATGACTTGGAAGCCGGACGGCCTCGTGGGAGCGGCGCCGCACCATTCCTGCCCGGATGTTCTATGGGAGTTGCAAGCTCATCTCGCTCAAGCTCGTCTTGGTCGAATACCTCCTGCGTTTGTTCTATCTATGGATTTAGAAAATGCTATGACCGACTTGATATTCCCAATCTTCTGCGGCTCACAGAGCATCTTGGGCTACCGATCTGCGGCCACGTGCTTCGCAACTACCAGACGCTCGAGCGCATCCTCTTCGTGGACAACCAGCCCACGGACGTCCTCCTCAAGGGCTCCGGGTTGCCGGGCGTCCCCCAGGGTTGCCCGATGGCCTGCTTCTTATGCAACTTGACGTCCATCATGTGGCATTTGACGGTGTCCCCAGCGGTACCGACAGCCAAGCACTTTTCCTACCTGGACGACCGGTTTGTCCTTGTTGCGTCCTAGAACGAATTGGCTCGAGTACTTGAGGCTACTCAACACGTTGATTTGGCCATTGGTCCTGATCTTAATCGACCTAAGTGCGCTCGAGGCGTCGTCGTCCCTGTGGGTCGCAGTGTCCCCAAGTGTGCTGAGCAGAGTCTTCGAGACATACCTCCATGCAAGCATTTTCGGTATTTGGGTATCGATTTAGTCTTGGGCGAAACGTCTGCTGCTCCAGTGGCCGGCCGCCGTACTCACCAGCTTCGCAAACGGCTACATGTCGCTCGTGTACTACCTTACGTTCAACGAGGCGCGGCGGTCGCAGATGCCCTGTCAGCGGTGTGGTGCGACGGGGTTATGCCTATACTGCACGTGATCTTCGTCAAGCGTGTTCTTGTGCAGCTCTTGCTCTTATGGACAATATTCCCGAGGGACGTACTATTCGCCGGTCGAGAGAGCTTACTCATCTTCTTGGGCCTGGTTGTCACAGGACTCACTTGGGGTGTGTGGTTATCGACAGCGTTGTTCGGCTGTTCTATCGTGTGATCTTGGCTGGGATTCTTCAACCAGCCGACTGGCAGTTTTTATGGGCTCACCGCAGTCGGATACGTTTGGGGCCCCTTACGCTTCTTTCGCGGGCGTGCTCGACCCTCCAGATTGATTGGCACTCAGCTACCGCTTTCAAGGCTGGGAGTCGCAGGTTCGCCTTCACCATCCGTCCAGACCTTCATGCAGATGCCGGCCGGGACGCTTTTCCAGGTCTTTGCAAACGGGTTCAAGTGCAATCACAGCTTCATAAACTACGAGATTTTCTTCGGTTTGCCCTCGCTGGAAGCGAAGCGAGGCGGAGGTCCAAAGACTTTGGCGGCTTGTCCAACGGCCTCACCGAGAACCGAAACGCACGGGAGCATCTTTATGCTGCTCAACTACACTTCGGAAGTCCTGCCCTCACCTCCGCTGGCTTGTGGACCCGGCTACACGTCTCACGCATCGCCTACCACGATGGCGACGAGTTCTGTGTGCGTTGCGGCACGGCAGTGGAAACAACTGAACACCGTTTGTGGCACTGTCCGTGTAATCACGAGGCCCGCGCCTGGCTTGACCAACAGGCTCTTGGCAACCAGTTTCAGGATGGTCTTTCTCCTTGTCTCGCACGTTGTGGTCTTATCCCTTCTCGATTACCTGCTGGTCTTTCTCTTCACCATGCTGTATGTGCTTCACAATATTTGTTATGGGTCAACGCTATCGCTACTCAGGCCTGCGCGGACGCGCGCCACCATCGACATGTTCGTTTGGATTTGGACCGGCCGGCTTCTCAACCGGTCGACTTCATCTACGCGAGCGCCTTACCTCCACTACGGCGCATCAAGCGTGTCATCGCACCAGTTGCGCACGATATGGACGACGGCCTTCCGCGAGGGGCCAGCCTGCCACCGCAACTCCCCGGTACGGCCTTCCAGCACCCGGTTAACGTGGTGGTCTCGTGTGACGGCAGTGCAACTCTCAACGGGGACGAGTCTAAGTCTGTGTGGGGCTTCACGGTCGCTCTCCCCTTTTACGACCAGCTGCTGGATTTCTGTGGTCCTACAATCCTTGCTCGTGATGATGAGGCTTTCGTTGGTGCTACACGGCATTCCAACAATGTGGGGGAGATTACGTCTTTGTTGTCTCCTGACACAGACCATTGTTTACAACTTATCCTACAACATCGCGGGGCGGCGCCCGGTAATTCCAGTGGCCCCCGTAACGGTCTGGACGGGCATACCGGCCTATCCGCTATCGATCTTCGTCATCGTCTTCAATCCGTACATATTTCATCATTTGTGGTTGAGTTTGATTCTCAATATGCTGCAGACGTTGTTCGCAGACACGCCCGTGCTCGTCGCAACTTGACTCTTGTCTTAAGGACGCGGCAGATCCTTGACAGCATCGATCATCATATTACGTGGACCAAGGTTGTTTCTCACAACGGTGCCGTACTAAATGACCATGCTGATCATCTGGCTGATTGCGGTGCTAATGGTATGTCGTCCCCTTTGTCATCGTTTTCCACGATTTCAAGATGGGCTCGAGCTTCGCGGTAATCGTTGGCATTGTGTTCAAGTAGCCCTTGGACTTTTTCATTATCATGCAGTTGTGAATCTTGTGTCGTGGCACCACTTTCGGTGGAGCTCTCTTTGGGGCCACGAACCGTGTGATGGCGCGGCGCCGCCATGTGGACCCTGCCACTGGGGTCTTCGGTGGAGCTCCTTATGGGGCTACGAACCCTGTGAGGGGTGCGCCAAAATGGGGCGGCGCCGCCATGTGGACCCTGCTACTGGGGCCTTGGGTGGAGCTCCCAATGGGGTTACGAACCGTGTGAAGGGTGCGCCGAAAATCGGGCGGTGCCGCCATGTGGACCCAGCCGCTTGTGTCTTCGGAGGATGTCCCGATGGGGCCACGAACCGTGTGACGGGTGCGCCAAATGGGGCGGCGCTGCCATGTGGAACCTGCTACTGGTGCCTTCGGCGGAGCTCCCTATGGGGCTGCGAACCGTGTGAAGGGTGAGCCGCTGGGGCCTTCGGTGGAGCTCCCCATGGGGCTACGACCCGTGTGAGAGGGGTGCGCCAAAATGGAGCGGCGCCGCCATGTGGACCCTGCCGTTAGGGCCTTCAGTGGAGCTCCCTATGGGACCACGAAACGCTGCACTGTGTGTGCCAAAACACAGACATGCGGAGGGCAGAGGCAGGGATGGGAGGGAGAGGAGGGGGAGGGGGCAGCGGGAGGAGGAAGAGAACGCGGGGCGCTGTCTCTTCAAAACGAGAACCCAACACCACAGGATGGTTGGGAAAAACCAGCAGGAGGGAGGAGCAGGGAAGGCTTCAGGGCCAGGAGGACCCTGCACTCTCCCGTACGCATCCCAGCTCCCCTCCACGCTAGTCCTTCAAGACGAGGGTCGGAGCTGCCATATACGTTGGATTCATTCTTCGTGCACGGACTCCCCGCATCATGTCACCCATGCTCATATTACTCGTCAGCACTAGCACCGACGCCACCGTCGTCATCATCGTACTCCTCCTCGACGTCGTAACCCTCGTCACCGCCGTCGTTGTCGTCAACGCCATCGCCGCTCGACCTCACCGGAACGGCGGCGGCCGCTGGGATCATCTCCCCGTACGAGTGCAGGTCGAGGAATACCGTGGCCTCTGACGGGTCTGCTTGGCTTTTCTTATCAAATCCTGGCCCCTCGGATGGCAACCCAACAACCCCTACAGACACCTAGAGACAACAGATATAACCCCCCTGTTTTCCTTCTCCTCCATTCCTTCTCCTTTCATATAACATCTCCCTGTCGCACCCCGAGGTTGGTTTTAGGGAGGGCCGGGCGTTTCGCCTGAAATGTCCTCACCATTTATGACCCTGGAGTTTAAAATATTGGCAACTGTTTCACAGATGGAGGGCGGGTGTTTTTCAAAGTGTGGTTCTCGCCTCAGCGCTGTACAC